CAAACACCAAAATATCATCAATTTTCATATTGTTCGTTATCCAAAGAAATTATTGATCATTAATTAAATGTAATTTATATCTGCAATTTGAAACATCTTATTTACTGTTTAATAAATGTGTAAATAATAAATATAAATACTCACTTTATTCAATTACATATTTAAATTCCCATTTTCCTTATACTCCTTTCTCCCATATGAATATTCGTCATATCCACACGATACCAATACAGTTTCAGATGAATTAAAACTGAATGAAAATACACTATTTCTATGCTGATCTAATGATTACTGAAAATTCAGCTCATTTTTAATAAAATCTATATTCCAAACTTTTATTGAATTATCCGAACCTCCTGAAATAAGTTAATCCTCCTGTTTATTTAACATCAAAAAATTAGCATAATCATTATGTTATTAGAATGGCTATGAACACTTCCACTCTTTTTGATTAGTTTATTGCCAACATAAAATAGTCTTATCAAAAGAACCAGAAATAAAGTTATTTCTCAATTTGCTATAAACCAAAAATGTAACAAATTCTTTATGTTTTGAATATGTATTAATTAATTTTAATCTTCCTAATTCAAAATTCAAAATTTTAATCTCCTCATTATTACATGAAATCATGATTGACCCAGTTTTGTCAAAAACTATTGCTTAACAATAACCACTCTATTAGAGAGAATCATCAATTAATTTAAGTTAAACTTGTTTAAGGATCATTAATTATTATTTCTATTGATTCTATTAAATATATACTTAAATCAATTCCTTTTATTTTTTATTATCATTTTCTTGATTTCCTTTAAGTTGCTGAGTTTGATTTAATCACCAAACTTTTTGTATAAAATAAAGCTTCCATCTGCCTAAACACATTATAATAAATCAATATAATTTATTACAACAGCAGTTTCTTCATCAATCTGAAGACTTTTACAACTCCTTTTCTCATATAAATCTGAATCGGATCTATCCATACACCTATTTTTTTAATAACCGCCTAACATTAGATCAATACAACATTATTATTATTCCTAACACTCTTCAATATCAATACAACGTTTTTTCTTATAACACTGTTCCATATCCATACAAAATGATGGCTTTAAATCTATACTTTAATTAATAGAGTAATCTAAACCTTTTCTCAATTATTATACATGAAAAGTATGATTTTGATAGAATATTTTTTCTTTAATTAATTATTTAAATTCATCTTCCAAATGACAGAATTAGTAAATATAAGCTGTGTTTTTGGATAAAATTTAATTTTATATTGATAAATTGATTATATCTTCATTATTGAATGTAACTTAATTGACCTTTATCTTATTGACTTAATTTATTTTGATTTTATAAAGAATATTCATAATACTTTATCAATTTATGAGCTGCAAGTTTATCAAAGTAATCTTACTATGATTCATTTATTTTCAATTTGAATTTGTAAGATATTTTTGTTTATTTCTAAGGGTCAAAACATTTAATCTGAAAGTCTAGTGAATCTTAGATGGGAGTTGGAAATAATATTTATATAACTAATTCTTCATTTTTTTAATAGCAGTGATTGATTCTGGATCAGGAATAATTTGTCCATCAGTCAACAAAAAAGCATTATAAGTTTCTAAATGACTTTTACTATCTTTGCCATTCTTCAATGCTGAAAAAACATCAGGTCCTCCTAAATCTGCTTCCATAGAATTTACTTAAGAAATTACTTAATTTAAAGATTTCTAATTATAAACTTAAGAGTTTTCAAACATTCTTTTCGGTTAACTTCCAAAAGATATAACATTAAATAAACTATTTTTTGGTTAACTTTTTAAGAATAAAATTAATGATTGCTTTGCTTTCTATATTCTTTACCCTCCCATCGAACCACTTCTATCAATAAAAAAATAATAATTTCCTCTATTTATTTTTGTTTCTGAAGATAAATTTAACCCATTTATGTATGATGAATAAGCATCATCCAAAGGTACTTCATTAAATTTTGGTATTAATGTTAAGGTAGCACAATATTTAATATGTTATAAGGCATCATTATTAGTATGAGTAAGAAAAGAATGAGGTGAATTGACATCATCAGATGAAAATAACAGCTCAAATTTTTTATTTGGGAGAAAGTTATTTGGATATTTTTTATCAAGAATGATTATTTAATTTTTTGTAAAGTTTTCTTTGACAAATTAATTATCATCATTATTAATTAAAATTTAATGGGTTGGAGACTTTACAAATGTTATAGGTTTCTATAAATTAATATTTATTGTGATATCTTATTAATAGTTTTATTAGAGACCTTGAAAATTCAAACTTTTTTATATTTAATTATATAATTAAGGATAGTTGACTGATTAGTTTTTTAACTAATAGACTGTAAGATAACTTGAATCTACCATTGGCGATAATTCAAGCATCCAAAATTAATTTAAATAAACTTTTAAAGGCTGAATATATTCAAAAGTTATTTTTAAAGATTTTCCAGGAGCTAAACAACCAATCTTTACTTTTTTTNCTTTGAAAATTCACACTTTTTTATATTTAATTATATAATTAAGGATAATTGACTGATTAGTTTTTTAACTAATATACTGTAAGATAACTTGAATCTACCATTGGTGATAATTAAAGCATCCAAAATTAATTTAAATACACTTTTAAAGGCTGAATATATTCAAAAGTTATTTTTAAAGATTTTCCAGGAGCTAAACAACCAATCTTTACTTTTTTTAAATCAGTTATTTATTTATCCTATTCACCTAAAATCATAGTTTTTCCAGCTTATATGCCTTATTGATATTCTTTTTTTGCTTCCTCCAATTCTTTTACAATGCCAAAGACTTTTATATCACCTAATTCTGCTACCATCTTACTAACAACTGAATCCTTTTAGATAGTAAACATATATTCTAATTCAATTGGAACTTCATAATGCTATGTGTTATAATTCTATTATATTTCAACAATTGCAAAACCAGGTTAGACATTTACAATATAATGTACCGATTAGAGTGATATTGTTAATTTATTCACAACATCAAAACAAATAAATAAAGGAGGAGCATTAACCTCACTTAATTTTGATTCATTTTCATGCATTGACACTTAAATTTTTGGATGATACATAATAATTATTAATAACTCTATCAATCTAAAAATACTGATAAATATAATCTTTTTTTGTTATATTTATCATAATTTATAAAAAGGTATTATGCTAAATTTTATATATAATTGTATTAATCATATATGACATCAGCTAATTAATATTCAATGATTAATACATTATATATGATATTTATAGTAATATAGAAATAATTCTTATAAATGTATTAAATGTCATAAAAAATGTAGTATCTTGTTGTTGAAATAATAACAAGATTAATAAAAGACGAGACTATAAAATGGCCATAAATTAAATTTAAAATGATTATTAAATAATTAAAGTTTAATTCTCTGAAAAAAAATAATACTATACTATCCTTAAATCCATTAAAAATTAAAATCCTCTAAAGTAACTTAAATATTTTTGAGTGATGAACTCATAATAATTAATGATTTAGAATGAATAATATGATTCATTGAATGTTTTAGGTGTAATACTTTAATTAATTGTAATTGAATATAAAAATTTGAGAGATTGTTTTAATTGGAATAGCATTTTCTAATTCATTAAACATAATAATTAGTTATTATTGGATTTCAAATACAAAGCCATAAAGAAATATACAAATAATTTGAGATATTAGATTAATAAGATTATATTATTTTAATCTTTTGAATTCTAATACCCCTTTAATCACATAGTCTTGTTAAAATATAAACTCTTTAGTTGATATTATAAGAAAAAGAATAGAAAATTGGATAATCTTTTAAGATACCTTTTATGATGATATAGAGAAAATAAGAAAAAATTTAGAGGATTAAGTTAATGATTTTAACCAAAAATTATTTTAGTAGTTATTTTCCCTTGAGTATATAAATGATATCTCTATATATCAATTCTTCAGATATTAAAGGAATAAAAAGATAGTTCTCTAATTTGAAAGAAACTGAATTGTAAGTTATATATATAAAAGAAATTGAAATGATATATTTACAAGATGGAGAATTACTTAGATGGTATTTGAAAATATTTATAATTGAAGCGATGAGATATAAGATTTTTATGATAAACCTTAGATAATGAAAGACTTATAATAGATTAAGCAGCTAAATTGGCATGGTTAATATAATTTGAATTCATAAAAGGAAGGCAAATGGTATCCAACTTGGAAGGGAGAAAAATTAGATGCTGGAGGGGATTATTTATAAAATGGATTAAAGAATGGTGAATGGAAAAAGTTAAGCTAAAATCTCTGGGAGTAATTTGATATTTTATGTTTTAGCAAAGCTTAAGTATTTGAAAAGGGGAAGTATGAAAATAATAAAAAATGTGGCATTTGGTATATTATCCACAATAATTAATTACTGAATTATAATTTAACAATCATTAATAGGTGAGGGCTCTTATTCATAAAATGGCTTAAAAAATGGGAGATGGTTTGAAATTACATGAAAATTATCATGAGTATTTAATATTATCTATTGAATAGAGGAAATCAATTCATTCTTAATGGAGAGTATTTGGAAGGATAAAAGATTAACCAGTGGAATATAATATAAAAGGGGAGATAAATGTAAGAAAATTTCTTTATTTTTTAAGTGATGGAGGATATTATAATAAAATAGGAAAAAAAGGAAGGTAATTGGATAGAATTGCATAATAATTTTAATGAGTATAAATATATTCAAAATGTAGAAATAATCAAATAATTGAGTCAGGAAAATAAGAAAATGGAAACAGAATTGAATAATGGGATTTTAAATTTGAAGGAAAAAAAATGTACAATATTGATATTAATATTAAAGTGGTGGTGGATGATACTCTCTCGAAGGAAATAAGAATGGAATATGGAAAGAATTACATAACTATTATTCTAATTATTCAATTAGTAATTATGAATAGAGACAATGTAACCTTTCTTATAGGTTAATATAATAATGCAAAAAAGTGTAATTAATGGAAAATTCTATTTAAAAGTGAAAAAGAAAGTCAATAAGAAATTATGTAAGATTTCCTTTTTAATTTTTAGAAAAGGCAATCATAATGAAAATTAAATCAAAATTGATGAATAGATAGATTTGCATCAAAGTAAATGATATAAATATCTTCTAGTTATGGATAAGTTATTTATTAGGGTATACATAGAAATCGGAAGAAAGATCAAAAATGGGATATTAAGAATAGAGATGAGGCATCAGAGTTTGTAGCAATGTAAAAATTTACAATAAAGAATTAGTGGTGGAGGATTATATGATTCAGAAGGAAGGAAAAATGAATAATGGATAGAATTAAATCCTAATTTCTCTTTTTATTTGATATTTTAATTATAAATAGTTAGACATAGATTTGTTATAAGGCTATGTATGAAAATGGAAAAAAAAATGGTAAATGGGAATTTTTTTTAAAGTTGGATAAAAACGAAAGACAATTGTAATAAGAATTATTTATTTAACTTAGAGGAGAAGGAGTATATGATGAAAATTAGTTGAAAAATGGCTAATGGATTGATTTGTATGAAAACTTCAAAATGTATTAAATTATTTTAACAGTTTAGTCATTCTTAAGTAAGATATAAGGGAAAGTATCAAAAGAGTAAGAAATAAGGTACATGATAAATTAACTTTAGATAATCGACATTGTCAAAGATTGAAATAACAATGTAAATGATGTCTAATTACTAAAATAGTGGTAATGGAGATTATGATGGAAATGGAAAGAAGACTGGTTAATGGGCTAAATTATATGATTAATTTGAAGAGTATATTAGTTATTTATTTTAAGTATGAAGTAAATCAGATATAAAGGAAAATATGAAGAAGGTATAAAGAATAGAGTTTGGAAAAGATTGAAACGAATAAGTGGCAAAGGTAACTTTATTTCAGATGATGAAAATGAAATTAAGTAGAATAAATGATTTTATTCAATAAAATATAAAGTTTAAATAAATTTATTCTGTATTTCAATTTTAATTAATCTTAATTATTATTTATCAAAATCAAATTTAATTGATATATATATATCAATTAAATTTGTTAAAGATTATAAGTAAATTATTATTATCATTATTTTCCAATAGATAATATCATCTTTTTTAATTTTATCATGTTATACTGTATGCTTCTTTTCTATTTAATTATTATAATAAATCATTTTATTAATATTAATTTANTTATTTTTTAAGTGATGGAGGATATTATAATAAAATAGGAAAAAAAGGAAGGTAATTGGATAGAATTGCATAATAATTTTAATGAGTATAAATATATTCAAAATGTAGAAATAATCAAATAATTGAGTCAGGAAAATAAGAAAATGGAAACAGAATTGAATAATGGGATTTTAAATTTGAAGGAAAAAAAATGTACAATATTGATATTAATATTAAAGTGGTGGTGGATGATACTCTCTCGAAGGAAATAAGAATGGAATATGGAAAGAATTACATAACTATTATTCTAATTATTCAATTAGTAATTATGAATAGAGACAATGTAACCTTTCTTATAGGTTAATATAATAATGCAAAAAAGTGTAATTAATGGAAAATTCTATTTAAAAGTGAAAAAGAAAGTCAATAAGAAATTATGTAAGATTTCCTTTTTAATTTTTAGAGGCGGAGGTAATCATAATGAAAATTAAATCAAAATTGATGAATAGATAGATTTGCATCAAAGTAAATGATATAAATATCTTCTAGTTATGGATAACTTATTTATTAGGGTATATAGAGAAATAGGAAGAAAGATCAAAAATGGGATATTAAGAATAGAGATAAGTCATCAGAGTTTGTAGCAATGTAAAAATTTACAATAAAGTATTAGTGGTGGAGGATTATATGATTCAGAAGGAAGGAAAAATGAGTAATGGATAGAATTAAATCCTAATTTCTCTTTGTATTTGATATTTTAATTATAAATAATTAGACATAGATTTGTTATAAGGGTATATATGAAAATGGAAAAAAAAATGGTAAATGGCAAATTTTTTTAAAGTTGGATAAAAATGAAAGACAGTTGTAATAAGAATTATTTATTTAACTTAGAGGAGAAGGAGTGTATGATGAAAATTAGTTGAAAAATGACTAATGGATTATTTGTATGAAAACTTCAAAATGTATTAAATTATTTTAAAAGTTTAGTCATTCTTAAGTAAGATATAAGGGAAAGTATCAAAAGAGTAAGAAATAAGGTACATGATAAATTAACTTTAGATAATCGATATTGTCAAAGATTGAAATAACAATGTAAATGATTTCTAATTACTAAAATAGGGGTAATGGAGATTATGATGGAAATGGAAAGAAGACTGGCTAATGGGCGAAATTATATGATTAATTTGAAGAGTATATTAGTTATTTATTTTCAGTATGAAGTAAATCAGATATAAAGGAAAATATGAAGAAGGTATAAAGAATGGAGTTTGGAAAAGATAGAAACGAATAAATGGCAAAGGTAACTTTATTTCAGATGATGAAAATGAAATTAAGTAGAATAAATGATTTTATTCAATAAAATATAAAGTTTAAATAAATTTATTCTGTATTTCAATTTTAATTAATCTTAATTATTATTTATCAAAATCAAATTTAATTGATATATATATATCAATTAAATTTGTTAAAGATTATAAGTAAATTATTATTATCATTATTTTCCAATAGATAATATCATCTTTTTTAATTTTATCATGTTATACTATATGCTTCTTTTCTATTTAATTATTATAATAAATCATTTTATTAATATTAATATAAATATTAAAATACTTTTTTTATGAATCCTTCCTTTTTAGTCTTACTTCTCCTTTTATTTTAACTTAAATATTATTGTAGTTAGTTTACAAAAATGCAAAAACTATGAAATTTAATTAAATGAAATGTTTTTGTCATAAAAATCATAGAATATGAAAATATCAAACCAAGATAGCTAATTGTATTTTAAAATGCTATATTAAGCTCTAAATCTTGAAGTTAAAGTAGAATCATTTTGAAAATCTATTCATAGAAAAGTAGTATTGACAACTAATTTTGCAGTAGCTTGAATAACTATTTATGGGATTTTATAAGTTGTTGATTGTTGTTATCTGATGATTAGATCATTTCAAATTGGGAAAGATATTAGTACATAATTAATGGCTTCAGTTTCAAAAGCATAAGATGAATATTATAGTCTTTATACTCAATAAATATATCAAAGATTAGCTAAATACAGAATACCTCTATGAAATTTAAACAAATCAAATTATTAAATCTTGATATCAAATCTTTTATCAGTAATACTTTAAATGAAAACTATTGGAATTAAAAATGTGCTGATTTTTGATTTAATTAATAAACCTAATATGGAATTAATTCTTGACAAGTAGTATCAAATTAATAAGTTGCTGCATCATTACATTCTTGATGATCCTGATTATCTGACAATAATTATCAATCTTCAGTGAGTTAATAAAAGCTTTTTAATTTCTATATTCTGCCTTACAATTTGGATAGTAATCTTACAGTCTTTTTCGAAAATAATTTATATCTTTAAGTACTTTTCATAATATTTCATTAACTCTTTGCCAAAGTATTTTTCTTGATTAATACTTTTAGGAGGCTCTTTAGGTTTTTTGGCTTTTTTTGGACATAAATATTTTAATACTCATCTTATCAATCACCCTAAAGAGTTTTTAAATATTTTCTCTTAAAATAAATATAGACCATATTCTTAATTTAAGGAGTTAAGGATTTGAAATGAGATGAATAAGATTTATCAATTGATAATCCTTTACTTAAATATCTTTGGAGTTTATACCTTATAACATTTGTACATATAGTTACGTTTTGTTTATTTCCTCTGGTAATTCAAATAATAAAATTGTATATTAAATCACTTTTGTTCTAAATAAAACAAGAATATTTTGATATTGATATTTTTTTTAAAGTGATTTTAATGGTTTTTAATATTTAAATAAAGTGTAAATAAATGATTCTATATCGTAATTTAGTAATCTTAAGAAGAAGTGGGAAGAATCTATGTCTTTATGTAGATCACTTTATGTAATCTAGTAAGGTATTAGGTGAATAATTTTGTTAATTTTTCAAATATAAATTAGAAATAAGATGAAAATTTATTTAAGCCTTTGATTAATATCATACTATATTGATATTATTTATTTGAGTTTCATATAAAAGAAATAATTATTAGTGGTTGTAATTTACAAAAACAAATAGAATTTCATTCTTATCATATTTGATTTATATTTGTCTAATATTAGCTCTCTCGTTCTCAATCCAGATAAGTTTATTTCTATCCAAATAAAATTCTACTCTTGTTTTCCTATTAACTCTTCCAGTAGATTTACGATAGAAATCTTTACTCTCTTACTTTTCTTAATATTTTAAAATAAATGATTTAATTTTTATAATTTTGATTTGTGTACCGTTTAAAAAATTGTTTAAGATATAATTAATTTAATATTCGTTTTAATAAAATAAATAGATACAATGGAAAGAAAGAAAAAATAAATAAAGAACAGGAAATTTTTAGACTGATACTGATACTAATATATAATTGATTAATATACATAGCAGATAATATGATTTCTAAAGTTAAATATTGCATTTTCTCAGAATTATCTATAATTGGATTGATAAAACGAGATAATTAAATTAGTATAGAATACATCATTAAATCAACTCAAAGGAAAGTAATCCAAAATTTAAAAAGATGATACAATAATTATAAACCAAAAGTTAAGTAATCAAAAGAAGATGCATTTAAACTAAAATATTCTTCATAGTTTAGTCTATAGACATAAA